CTTCAAGATCATCATGGTCACATAATTCATACAGACTCAGCTGAAAGACTCGGACGGATCAATTGCTAGTATGTCTTGGCCAATGCATGAGCGAACGGGTCTCCATTCATGTCTTCTAATCAACCGCAAAGCGGTGTGAAACCAACAAAAAGCAACAAAATTTTTTAAAGGGCAGTAAGTATATTGCCCACTGCCTTTCCCATAAAGACAGCAAGAAGCAGGGGACACGAGGAGAGCGACACACCAAGTATACGCACCAATTCGGGCAATACAGTAGATATACAAGAAAAATGAGTATTATTGCAACTACGATCCTCTGCCGAACAGCTACATTGTCGTACTTAACCACTACCTACGCCAGATTGACCTTTAACGTCGCATCGAGATCTTTTTTCTATATAATCTAGTGGCAATTTTGTTATAAGAACTAGGAAGATCGTTTTCTCTTAAACCTTAGCCTTAAAAATAGCTTTAAAGGGCTATAATATAATTAAACTTATTAACTTAGCGCGAGATTTAAAGAAATTTTATTTATTAAAAGACGTGTATTTATAGAACTTACTTTTAAAGTAGACTTAGATATATATATTAGCCCCGTACCGTTATTATATCTACTTATAACGCTATATAATATTTTTAACCGCTTTATTATAGTTCTCGTTAGTTTTATCCCTTTTTTTTAGCTACTGCTAATAAGAAGCTATGATTTTTTTAATACGGGCTACGACAGTACTGTATTATTGACGTATTATAAAGTAAATAATGAGTCTGATTTATTATCTTCTTGTCGTTCTACTCTGCCTAATGCATCCCTTTTTAAGCAAGCATACCGTATGAATGTGTTAGGCACCAGGTGGCAGTGGAGCCGCATCTGAGTCTATTCTGTGATTGCTCGTTTTTTAAACTTTGTCGCGACTTTTTTGTGACGGCAGCCAAAATCGGCTTTTGATGCATCTGCTAGCGGGAAGAACGTGGAGTCACCACTTACGGATGTTGGCACGTAAGTTTGGACGCGGGTAGCCCGAATGACGGGATTCGACAGCCATCCGAGAGGTAGAACAGGAAACCATACCCATTGATCTAGGACCAACTGCATGTGCCAGACAACTATACGTACTTTGTTGCTGAACGGACAGAGTGTAGACAAAAGAGTCCACTTGAAGCACCACAATGATGAGCTTTTCGTTTCTGACCATACGGCGCGAAGAAGCTCGCCATCATTTGGAAGCGAGAGGGACTTTGATTGGAGCCGTCGACGAAAGCGGAAGAGGCATAACTCGGACTTTTTGCCGTCCGATGTGAGTTACACGGCTGCTGACATTGCCTAATCAAGCTCATATATCCGCACTCATGGTGTTTGCACCGGCCATTTTGAAAAGGAAGAACTTATCTAGGCAGCATATGTGCATTATGTGCTGTACTGTGTCGTATAATTCAAAGATACAATCAAACAATGCATCGCATGGCGACAGCCCGAGACTAGAAAAGATGAGCGGAAGGCACAGAAGATGACGTATAAGCTCGTGCTGGCACACAAACACATTGACTAGCCAGGAAATCTAATACCCTATCATTTATTTATCCACCACGGGTCGTACGGATGAGTTCTAAATCGGTGTGTATGTGATGCATCATGAGCCTGGCGGACCAGGCTATGAGCCTTCGAGAAGCCAGACAGGATTCAACAATTTATAAATATCTTCCTTTATCACCACAGTCGTGCATGAAGTTAAGAATGTCAAAATTCACACGTTGACGAGTCTGTGATTTGCACGAGAAGTTTGCATTCTCATAAACAGGTCTATACAACAGCCTTCCGCCAACCACTTGCTTTTTTCTTACTCTTCATGGCGCGCCTCGATGCGTGTTTATCATAAGGAGATCCGGCAATACAACTACAGTAACCACGATACCCTCATATAGTTAGTAAGTCTGGCCTAGAGATACCGCATTCAGCAGACCTCGCGTAAGGATCATTTAAATCCTAGTCAAAAGAATTAGTAATAATTACGCTATCGCAGCTAGCTATCCTAAAATAGAGCGAGCGTTCTATAAAGGCTTTCCTATAAACATATATTACTCTATACGAAGATATTACCTTACTATTCTTAGTCAAATATCAAGCCGCTACAGGGCAAACGGTATTAATACTAGCCATAATATCTAAAAACGCTATACTAGTTAAAAAGCTTATTCCCTAATACGAATCGCTTTATATAAACCCCTTTTCCTTCTTAATACTATCGCTCTCCTTATCAGAGTTATAAAAAAAAAAGGTCGATATATATTCTTATAAAAGCCTCTATTTATAAAGCGTTTTAATTAATAAGGCAATTCTTAAAAGTAAGAATACTAAATATAGCTTTAAACCTATAATACTTATGGACGATCCCTTTATACTAAAAGTTAATTGCGGCATGTTTAAGACCTATATATCATAAGTATACACATCCTACTTCCTACCTACCACAAGCGACAGGCGAATGAACGTGCTGTAGGTGCTGCATCTCATTACTCTAAAATAACCCTATCGAGCGTATTAAATAAGCATTATCTTTCAACTTAAATAATAAAGAGGTCTTGGTTGCGTTTCTAGGCAAACTAGCCGCAAATGGTTTCTCAGCAATACCTAATGATTTGCATAGACAGGGTGTATATATATAGAGAAGCCCTGTTCCGATCCAGAAAGGCCAGATCTAGATCTTATAGAGAGGGTATTAAGGAAGCAGGATCCTCGTCGTGTGGCTGGGGACAACGCCAGTTCCAACGTAGGATACGGCGCAGATTTTGAGTCATAAGCAACTTGGAACACAGGGTGTCCAGTAACATCAACGGTGTGTGGCTAGGGAGCATAGCTAGAACCGACGTCTGGTGAGAGCCAAAAGCGGATGCCATAGATGGGCTAGTCGGCAAGCGAGATCCTTGTTCTGACGCCAGAAACGACCTGCAACAAGAAAGTGGCAGTACCTTTCCAGCTTAATTCCTGGATCTCGACCTCTGGGTATGTGGGTAGGAGTTAGAAACTGAATGCACAAGAGGAAGGCCTCTCGGTACATACAAAGGCCCTTGATTACGTTTCTGAGAATGTATAATTCTGGCTTATAGGCGTTGATACGAGTTAGTAGAAAGAGCCCGGTATAAACTCCGCAGAAATGATATAATGGTGCGTGTAAGCGTGCTATTACTTACTAGAGGTTCCTATAGTAGAAAGTTAGGCATGTCCTAAAAAAACAATTTCCGGACACTAGATAATTGCAGCGTTAATTATATATATACTATATTATTTCCTCTTTATAACATATTTTATTTATCTAGACTTGACCTATACAGTCTGGGCTTAATATCTTTCCTATTTATAAACTATTATAATCTATATTAAGAGAATATAGCTACTATAGAAGCCGATTATAAATACTTTTAAGGAGCTCTTGATTACGCGCTACTATTCGCACTATTGTTTATTATCCTAACCTATACTTTTATTTATAAATTAGTCGCTATAGCTATTACTAAAGGTCTACGGAGGCCCATTATACTAGTTTTCGGCTTTTTAAACATTAAGAATATTTGCGAGAGACGGAGTAACATATGCACAATACTATATAATAAAGGCCCATTTAAGTTCTATCGGTCTTGCGAGGGCTAAGCATCCAAAGCCGACGTAAACACTATTTATACGTTTAGTATCATCGTCCACCCAAACCGGAGCTATAAGCTCTTTTCGGATCGCTTAATATCCTAAACCTATTTTTAACTTACGTCTAGAAAAGCTAGAAACCACTCGCAAAAAACAGTACTATCCACATAAAAAATAAACAAAATACTTTTTTTATAACTAAAAAAAGTACCGTAGCGCCTAAATAGCAAAACTCAAAACCTTTCTTAAGCGAAATAGTTAACTCTAAATCTATAATATATATATAAAATACTTCTAATATAAAGCGCCGTCCTATATAACGAAGTTTAAATTTTTATATTAAATATAAAACCGGCGAGCCTACAATAACTACGTAACTACCTCATATTCTTATTATACTATACTTTTATTATAAATTATATCATATCGCTTAGTATAATAAACGCTACTCACTATAAAGTCTATTTATATAAAGTCAATATCTTTAAATATAGCGTAATATATCTTTAATTATAGCGAGCTCTATAACTAATCCGTATTTATATAATACTCGCGCACTTAGTATTCGTTTTTTAACCTTAAACTTTATAAAAACGATATAAAAATAAGAAAATACTCCGCCGTTTTTAATACTATTACTAACTATAGAAATATATAGGTAGCCCTCGCTACGCTCCAGTATACTTTTTAAACTAGCGCTAACTATAATAAACCGGCTACTATATATATAACTAAGAACTATTAATATAGCCCTTTCCTCGTTACGGCCCTATATTTAGCAGCTTCTAAAGGCTATATTAATATTATATCGTTTCTCTTTAATTATAATACTAATATTAATAAGGTCCCGGATTACTAACTACGTACTCCTATTTTCTTTTTTTTTCTTAATAAAAATACTTAAATATTTATAGTTCTTTTTTAGTATAGCGCACGGCTTAAGTTTTTTAAATTTAATATTAACGCTTTTTATTAAGCTACTACTACTAAGCTTATTAAAATAATTACGTACTTTATTAATAAAAAAGGGATAGAAGTAAACGAGGCTAATAATAACGGGGATATACTACTAATTTACTCCCTATTATCTCCGTTATTAAAAATAGTTATAAGCTAACTAGCGTAGTTCGGCATTAATATAAACTAGCTTATAACAATTAATATATAATATATAACGGCCCTTAGTATAGCGTACGAAAATAATATATCTTTTATTATTTTAATATTATTAAAAGCCGGAGTGGATACTACGGGCGAGCTAGATAGATTAGTTAATAGGGCTAACCTAGCGCTCCGTATATTTAATTAAAAGCCGTTCGAGCTCGCGCTCTTAGCCTAAGTTAAAAAAACGAATAATAAGACGGTATTAGTAAAATAACAGCTTATTAAACTCCTTTTTAAATTAAGTACTAATCTAAACGAGAGGGTTTATATATCGGTATACTATAACTAAATAGGACCTTTATTATTAAAGCTATTTTAAAAAAGGCGCTACTAAGAAGCTAAGATATTACTTTTTTTAGGTCTTATAAATATTAATAAGTACGACTCATATAGTATAACGAGTTTTAATTAAGCACTTTTAATATATTATAATAGCCCCGTAATAGCGTCGATTTTATTACGGCGCAGTATTAAAATAAATAATACTATATTATATAATATTATTAGTAAGCTAGCGCGTCTTACGGACGTATAAAACTATTAAAGTATAATTAGCTTATTAACGTAAGAGCCTAAGTTATTAAAAATATTTTATATATTATATTCGTACTATTTTTAAGTAGCGTCCTAAGGTAGTAACGCTACTATATTATAGTTTTTATAAAAGTTACTAAGCGTAATTATATATTTCGTTACGGAGATATTAAAGGATAGTATGAGTTTAACGAAGATAGGTATTTTAAATATATTACGAAACGCGAAGGAGAGTAGGCTAGGGCCTATTATTATAGGGGTTTTCTAATTAAAAAAAAAGAGTATTATACGGAGGTAGTATTAATATAGTAGGGTAAAATAGTAAGGAGAGAGGCGGGATGCTA